GATGCATCTTTTTTTTATGTGGAAGTGAGATTTTGAAAAGGGAAAATATATTGCATTTTTAATAAATATCATTGGTGGATTGAAACTAATATATGATTCACAGTTCCATAAAAGTGAACATGCATCTTACCCTAATTAAATAGATCATTACAACACATTTTACTCATTACTTATTGGTTTTATATATACAAAATTAAAGGAATAAACAAACATAAACAGTAAAGAAAAAAAAAAGAAAATTTTCCTTTTATTTTTTCAACCCAACACATGTGAGGTGGGGATTCAAACTTTTAATATTTTGATCAAGAATACACGTAGTAACCAATTGAATATATGTTCAGGTTAGCCAAAATAATAATAATTGAAAAACGTAGGAAGGACCAATCTTAACTATTTTATTTGGTCAAATTACAAATTTAGTCCCTATAGTTTAGGCAAAGTTTTGAATTTGTTGTATGTGGTTTTAAAAATATCAATTTAATCTTTATAATTTTTGTTAATTTTCAACTTAATCAATATAATTTGGATTTATTTTCAAAATTTTCAATGTGGTGCATATGGTTCAATCAAATTTCACAAATCATCTTTAGAATCATCATATTAATACTTTTTAAAATTTATATTTGGGTAACTATGTTAGTGGAGTGTATTAGAATCTACGGACTAAAAAAACAGAAAAGAAAAAGAAAAGAAAATAGATGTATTTTTTAAATTAGTAAAATACTATTAAAATGTAGAGATTTAATTAAAACTAAAACTAAACTATATTAGGATCAAATTAAAAGTTTGAAAATTCTATAATGAAATTCAAAGTAGATCTTAATTACGAGAAGTAAATTAAATATTTTTAAATCATAGGTAACAAATTCAAATTTTGTTCGACTGAATTTGTGATTTAAGTTATTTTATTTTACGCTATAGTTAAAATGTGATTTAAAATTATTTCCTAGGATTCTCTCTCTCGAAACCAAAATTTAAATTAGGAAAGGAGGAAATTAATATAACAGTCGAGTTGACAGTTGACATTGACTTGCCCAACACTAATTAGGTGCAAGTTGGTGACCCCTGTCTCCTGGCATATCCACGTGCTTTATTCTCATAATTTTTCATTTATTTAATTTCCTTTTTCTTAAACACTAATTATTTATATTTCTTGTCCATTGATCTTGAAAATATCATCAAAAGTATTATAAAACATTATAATAAATAGATATCCAATATTAAGCGTAAAAAAGAAAGACGTCTAAATAACTCTGGTCCATGTGTCAAAATTTCTTATTTGTTTAGTGTCATTTAGTTATTGACGCATGTTCAAAGTGCTTAAATTCTTAATATCTCATGTGTCTATTTTCTACCTATTATTAGTATCCAATTGTAATACATCATAGTTGTACAAATTGCCTATAAATAGTGGCAATTCATGGTTTATTTGTGAGTGGAAAAACCAATTTTAATTTCTAAGAAAATTTGTGTTTTTCAATTTCAATTTTATATTTTGTCCAAATCTCGTATTCTCCTGTTATTCGTGTACTCGTAGTACCTCATTTTGTTCCATAATTTTACAAAGAAAAAGGTACTTTTTTATTCTTTAGTTTATAAATAAGTAGTCATCGACCATTTTCTAATAATTTAGGTACATCCTGTGTATATCTTTTTTAAAATGTTATAAATAAGTAAAAGCTCATAGCTAAAGAAAAAGTTAAGGCCTTTTTTATAATTAGAAAAGAAATTGATATCAATAATCAACTCTTAAACTAAAATAAGATTGATATTGAATTAAAAACAAAAATTAAAATTATTGGAGGGTAAAATATGACATGTCATGTAATAGTAGGAAGAGATCTCTCAAATCATCTTTCTCCACTTTCTCAAATCTATTTAGTGGACCTATTTTAACTCGACCTAGTTACACCTCGATAACTCAGTAGAACTATGGTTAGTCTTCTCAAAGGCAAAACGTCGAGATAAGATGTCTAACTGTCTGTAACTGCATGACAAATTCTAGAAACGATTTAACATAATGGATATGTGGGACTCACTACTTCCCACCTTATAAATAGAAGCATCCTTTTGTACCGAGGTTTGCAATTGGATTCTTTGTCCCGAGAGCTTAAATCAAATTCTTATTGACTTGAGCATTTGAGTGTTTGTTCATTTTGTGGCAAGTCCTTTTCTCCCATAGCTCGCTTCGGACGATTAAGTCATATCCGATTCACATCCATTCAAATCCAACCTAAACAAAAAACATTATCAAACTCTACTGGCCGAATACCTGGATTTTTCTCATCACCCATGAGATGTAATTTTGGGAGAAAGAGCCACAGCCTCTAAAAAAGGAGTGCAATAATTCAGAATGGGTTATGGGTTGGTGGTAGCAGGGGCAGTACTTATTTGTTTTGGGGTGCCTTGGCATGGCACTGCTCAAGAAATAAAGTAAATATCATTATACTCTTCACTTTGTACAATATCTTGTTTTGATTTTTGTAGGTTGAATAAACAAGGCATGTTATCTCTTAGACTTGTAATTTTGTATTGCATTTAACATAAATTTTAAATTTGATACTAAACTCAATAACATGTTTAAATTACAAATTCAGTGTGGCGGTGTCGCATAAAACTTCTGTTAATCGTACTACTTTTATATTTAACAGCATTAACTTTAAGAAGGAGGTTGATCAAGATTTTGAAATTAAAAATATTAAAGGACGAGGACAAAAGTATTAAAAGTCCGAGACCAAATAAGCTTCGAACATAAAGTTAATCTAAAGATAAATATGAAAAATGTTACTATTTAGACAAAACATTCATTTTTTTCTTATATTTGGAGGTTGTTGCATTTTTGTCCATAAACTTTTAAAATGTCTCTATTTTAATAGTTGAACTTTTAAAAAGTAACGAATTTTGATCTTAACAAATTAATATCATCGCTTCGAGTATGTTCACTAACATGTTAACATGAGTAAGTATGTACTCCAAGTATATAAGTTGAAACTGAATATTGGGTAAATTGAGCGATAAAAAAAAAGTCAAATATAAGAATTAAAATAAATATTTTGAGAGTAGCCTTGCTCAAATAAATTTAAGGAAAATAGAAATTAAGACCTAGAAAATATAATAATTCCTAAAAGAAGTCCCCATAGATAATTGTTTGTGGACTGCAGTGCTGAGATTGGATTGAGGAGGATTTTCCACCACATATTTGGATGCTTGATATCCTTATATTTTTATTATAATTATTAATATCATACCACTTGGATCCATCTGAGTATTTTGCAGTCAATGGCTCTTGTACCACTTTTTGGAGTATCATGAAAAAAGAGAAAAAAAAAACAAAAAATTATAAAATAATGGTGAAGAAAGAAGAAAAAGAACCCAATCCAGCTCAGCTAGATTGGCAAATTTAGGAATTTTTCCTTTTCTTTTAACAGTAATTGTACTACTCATAATAGATCAGTTGGATCTAACCAATCATTCTTCATTTTATAAAATTTAAAGCATCAATTTAAACTGACTATTATTTATAGCAAAATTTGTAATAGTTTTTTTTCCATATTTATATGTTCATATTGTCCAAAAAACAAAATGTCAAACTCAACTGAATGAGTACCACAAGAATAATCTTGTTGAATAAATCGTAGAAATAATAGTCATGAAAAATTGACCAATTGAATGTTAACATCGCCATTTAGGCAGGTTTCAAGTTTGAATGTGACAATATCAAAAACTTAAAATTGAAATAATATATATTTTTTTAAAAAAATTACAATACTGACGAGACATTGTTTGAAAATCAATCAAAAGCTTTGTATTATTAATGACATGATATAAGATGCATGCATTCACATGGTATTCCTGTCTTTTCAAAACATTTATACTCCATCCAGAAGTAAAATAGTTAAAAGGTATATTTGTTTCGTCTAATTCTAGTCAATTTATTATGTTTATCTTCTACGTATAAAAATACTCTATATATCAATCACATATATATTTTTTTAAGGGTAGTCATTTCTAAAACAATTTATTATTATTATTATTATTATTATTATTTATCATTGTTTCACTTCTAACCTTCTTTATTGGAGATTTTAATAAATAGATTGGATTATTTTTCTCTCAATAATAAAAATTTGAAGTCAACTATTTTCTTAGAAAAAAGAAAAAAGCTTCATTTATTATTTGAAGGTTTGATGAATATCCTTATCCAGTGGGAATCCTATGTTATCATATTGAAGAGAATATGAATTTAGATACCCTGGTGTCCCTTTTCTCCCTATCCCTCTTTGATGGCTGACATTTATGTCCTTTTTTTATCAATTTATTATATTAGTTTTCTTTTCTATCTATTTTGGATGCTTTTTTGACTTTTTAGTGCTTAGAAAACGGAGTAAATAAAATTAAAAACTTGTAAAATTACCTAAATGTAAATCTAATTAATCTTTTGTGGACTCATTAAAAAAAAAAAGTTATTGAGAATTTCTCTAGAGAATTTGCACCATGGGTGTGTTGGAAGCGCACAAAAATGATAATGGGCCCCAACATTATCTTATCAGGGCCCATTACTGACTAAAAGGGGTTTAACTTGGACAGTAGGCCCAATTTAGAGAAATTTTGGGCTTTTATTTGCAAATATAGAAAAGAATTGGGTTCAACGTGGACGGTAGGCCCAATACTAGAGGGATTACATCTCTTTCATATTCAACCTTATACATAGGGTGCTTTATTATTTTATCTAAAAAAAAAAAAACCTTATACATAGGGGATAATTGTATAACAATGCATGTGAGTCTCCTTATAAATCCATATTACGTGGACGTGAGCATAATTCGATAGCTAAGATATTGTGTTCATTTCTTAGAGGTCGGAAGTTCAATCCCACATTTCCACATCTTTTATACTAAAAAATCTCGAGTGACAAAACCACTTTTCGAGGGACCCATAGTGACATAACCAATTTGAGGAAGGATGCTTTTTCAAGTTTAGCATTTGGTTTGAAGTTGATGAAACTATGCTGTGTTGGCATCTTATTCATCATTGTTAAACTTGATGAAACACATCAACTATTATAACTATACAAAAGTGAAGATTCGAAGTTGACTAAACAGTAACTATAGCAAGTATTTGGAAGAAAAAATTTGATTTTGATTTCGAAGTACCAATCTGAGGTTCGAATCAATATGGTTTGTTCATTCTGTGCATCATTCTTCTTCCTTGATCTAGTTCTTTGGTGTCCTTGTGACTGCTTACATTTCTGGTGGGATAGAACAACAAATCCTAGTCATGAACTTCGCTAAAGATTTTATCATAATTGAACTGATCTCAAAGCCAAATTTATTTACAGCAAAAAAATGTGGAATCCCATATGGTCACAACATACACAAAATTGAGAAGATTACACAATACAATGGTAGAATGCCTCATATGCTGCCATCTGCTGCTCTCCGCCCTGCCCGGCCCGGTTTAGCGAACTGCTATGTACAGAAGGAAGAAAATATGTAACCCTTCTATCATCTCTAAACCATTCAAGGATTTCAGATCATGATGAGCAGCATTTAAGCAGCAGCAGCTGTGTTGGTCAAGAGATCATCACCTCACTATTTCTCTCGATATCAGATACCGAAAACTGAAGTTGTGCGGCATCCATTCGACGTTCTTGCGGGACTTTCCATTTTGGCCTTTTGTGACGTTCTTCCTAAGAGATTCAGGCAAAGACTTCTGGATCATTTCCATTGTACCAGTCGTGCACAGTCTTGATTCTTTGGCAAATGAATCGATGATCTTTGGTAGAACGACTTTTTTGTCCTTGCGTATACCGAATGTGGCTCGTATGTATTCTCCTTTTGCTGTCTCGAGCTCATGCATAACTCTTTTGGGCGTGTAGACACGAACCTGGAAGATGGGAAAAGTTGGAATCTTAGAACACTGCGTGAAGTCTCGTAACTTTTAAGACAAGACCACATATGATTTCACTCATGTAAGAAACAAAACAGGAAACTTTGAAGAGATGTTTTAAATACCGCAGGGTCAGAATGGCAGCCTGTACAAAGTGCAAAATGTAAAAGCGGTTCCGGCCGGTGGATTTTGTAGGCTTGGCGTCTATCTCCGTTTTTGAATTTTGACTTTGAGGGAAGGATAAGGGAGAGCCACTGCCAACAGAAGAAAGAAACTTGATCGGCCCACCTTATCTTTCCATGTTGTTCATGAAAACTAAGAAACTATCTAAACCTTGTGAGGGACATGCTGTTTCTTTTTTCCCCTATGGCATACCTGTCCAGGTCGAGGCATCCGACATCCAAGTATCGAACTTTGTATGGTGTCGACACTGATCGTGTGACCTCCTATGTTATATGCAGCCTGAATGGAGGATAAAGAGAGTAAGAACACGATATCATACAGAATTTGCAAATCGTAACGGATCAGCTGGACTCGTGTTACCTTCAAGAGAAGAAAGTTCTTCTTCACATTGTTTTGTGGTATACCATAAGCCAAATATGCCTTTCAGAAAACAAAATAGATATTATAGTCTGATCATCTCGGAAGAGCTAAAAAGACAAAGAATTCCAAGCGCTCAAGTTATGAAAAATCATTACATGCATCATCAGAGAATTGTGAACGTTGATCCAGAAAGCTAGCTTTTCCTCATGATTCAGCTTCCTCAGATCGACTTCCTCTAACTTTGATATAAGCGACCTGACATCGTATAATTGGTAAATAAAAGATGAACAAAAAATAATCACAGTGCTTACCAAAAAGATCTTGCAGTAATATGGCATTCGAACATCCATATGTTCCATACCTGAAATCTTGTAACAAGTGCTCGATTTCGATCAACTTCTGACTATCCCTATAAATCCATGGCACTTCAACCATAGTGCTGTACGGGCCACTAAACTCTTTAAGACCTTCCACGTGGAAAGGATTATCCAGTAGTATATCAAAAGTTGGACTATTTTTCAACATGTCAAACTGATCTTGTGGAGAGAATGCACTGATTGGTGATGAAGATGAAACCGGAGAGGAAAGACCATGATGTGATAAAGGTGGGTCTGAAAGTTTGCAATATATAGCTGATATGCACTTGATCATATCTTCAGAAAGACGGTTGGCACTCTCTGGAATATGGTCTGTTATTTGAGTACCGAGGTACTCTGCTAGACTCGTTAAATTGGATGAAGCATTATGAGCAAACTGCAGAAAAGGAACCATACATTATGAAAGAATGAGATAAATTTGTCACAAAGAAGATGGATATCTTTTATGGCTAGGCTCCTAGCTCCACATCAAGCTAAGAGGGCAACTTCTCAACTTTGAAGTTACCGTTAAACAAGATTCTAGATGAAACAATAGTAAAATTGATTTGAGCAGTTACCTCCATCATGGACATTGGCTGGGAAAGGCAAGGCCGTACAGCTTTACCCAAAGAATCTTCTGGAAGAGAAGTTCTCTTTGAGAAAACTGAATAATGTGATAGCGATGAGTGACAACGACGGACACTAGAGTCCAACAGGTTGTCTTCGCCAATTCCGCTATATTCCTTCACTGGATATCCAAAAGCATCATAACCAGACTGAACAGCTTTATCTTCCTTTTTCGATGTAATGCCAGGTAAGCAATTCACAATATACTTGGCTGTTGGGGAGTTCATAGGTGATTTTAGTTTTTCGTTGTTGGTAGATGGAGATGTAGAGGATATCTGACCGTCAAATGCTTTTCGATACAAAGAGAGAAGATATTGTTCTAAATGTGAGACTTCCACTTCCAATACTGCGATCTCTCTGATCAATTCAGTGGCTGGCTGTAGTCATTAATCATTATAAAGCAGTTTTAATATGTAGCAATAATGAAGATTGTAGCAGGCTTGCAGTAGTTTATATTTAGCGTTTGATGTGAATCAATATTGTCATTACTCTATCGATAGAATCTTGTAAACAGTCTTATTAAACTCTCAAGACCAAAAATATGAAAGATTCAGACATTTTGCTAAACATAAAACCTTAAGGAGCTACCTTGGGTACTTCAATGTCGTTCATGTTATCTTGAGAAGAGGACCTATATCCTAATGCTTTTTCGAGTGCCGTGCGAACCTTGAATTGGTCTTGCAATCTCTTTTCAAGCTGAAGAATCTATAGTACATATTTTAAAAAGAAGGATGGTTATCATTTCATGTTTTAGATTGCAAAACTCCACCGTTTTTAGACTATTGTTATGCATTCTCATGTTTGAAACTTGGAAGATCAATGATCAGCTATATTATAAAAAGGGAATGCTATTGAAAGAATGTTAAAAAAGACCATAAAGTTTATTTTTGTACCTCTTGTTTTAGAGAAGAGTGCACGTTTGTTTTTGGGAAGTTTTTCTTCTCTGTCCTTACAGATTCCTTGAAGTAGCTTGTGTCCTGGGGGTCGGATCAAACCCAAGAAAACAAACTTCAAAAATGATATATATTGTCAAACCAAAAGAATACTTGTGAGTGAACTTCATTAACATGGTTCCAGATTTGTAGAAATGAGCAGCATAAATGATATCATGATGATGAAAATGAAAGAACTATTAAATTCCTTCACAAAATAGCAGTTTTAATTTCATTCAAGCCAAAGAGTTAAAGAAGTCATCTCACCAGCTTTATTCGATTCGATGCTTCAAAGGAATTATCCAACAGTTCTTCAGAAGTATCCTTGTCAGGGGAGCTATCAGGGCAAAAGAATAAGGAAGAATTAAAATGCAGAATGGAGAAGATGAGAATTTGGCCTTTCCATTCCATTTGTTAACAGTTACACTTCATATGCAAATATGTAATAATATTATATTCCCCAACTTCTCTTGCTAATTCGTATCTCTCAATGTCTACATATAGCGTTATATGACCCCTCATTGAAGGTTTATCCAGCTCTCAGTTCCCAAAACTCAAAAAGAAAAAGGAACTGTTGCACTATTCTGCAGCCAATCATTATCTATCAATTGGAAGAAATTGGTGCAACAAGATGTATCTTAGGAAGATAAAGAAGAAAAAGTGAGGCGAGGCTCAACCAAGCCAAGATTCTATAGTCTGTACCAAGCAAGAGCTACGAATACCTTATTATTCCGAAATCTATCGATGGCGATCTATTTCTTTCAAGCCATAAAAACCAAAGGAAACCTCTTAAGTCTTAACTTCCCTTCTACATTCTCTAGCTAGCTTATAATTCCCCAAAATCCAAAGTGAAACAGTTATCTTTCATTTACTTCCATGTTCTACCATTCTCACCCTATAACAGAAAAGGAGGGAAGACTGAAACAGTGTAAAGATTACAGATCTGAAAAATAAAAAGAGAAGGAGGAAGGTAACAGGTGACCTAATTGTCAAAAGTTTCCAAAACCCACCTCAGATAAGCTTTTCAACTCTTCAACCAACAATTACCAATCTCGGAAGTCAGAAAACTGGTGCTTGAAAAATAATTAATAAGAAGACAAGATACAGCTCTTAAAGCAGAGGACCAAGGGTTCTTTCTTTAGACCTCTGATTTCAGAGTTTGGTCGGCAGACAGAAACAAATTGGCGGACTTTTTACTATTTTAGCCAACTAAGGAGTCTTTCCAGTTCAAGCCCACATCGAGTGTTCAGAACAAAAAAGAATAATCATTGCAAACTAACAAATGAAGCACATACAAAACAAAAGAAAACCTCAGCAGCACCAGAAGCTACCTCTTGCAACGCATGTGAATTGGCATCTCTCTGTTCTGCAGCATTTTCTTTCCGTCTTCTTTCTCTTGAAACAGTATATCTGAGAATCGAACTCTGTGAGTAATACAGAAGTTAGGGAGGAAAAAAAGAGAAGCAAAGGGAAGAAGAAGGAGGATTAAAGAGGGACATTACCATTAACAAACAAGTTGATCGGGGGAGGCCAGGTTCAGAGCTTGGAAGATGAAGAAGAAATGATATGAGAAAACAATCAAAAACCAAATGGGCATTCAGAAATCACTAACTAAAATCCAAATCTTCCTTCATTCTTCATATTCAAGCCGCAAGTCACCAGAAAGCGATGATACGGCTCCTCACGAGCGTCTGAAGAAAGCAAGAGAGCTGAAAATGGGTTGCATAAACCCCACAAATTCGGCTATAAAAACGAAGCTTTTTGACCAATGAGCTTCACCATGAAGGTGACTCACTCTCTGCAAAGTCCAGTGATGGCTTTTGTAAACGGGAGGGCTTTTGCATTAAAAGGGAAGAAAGGAGCTGTGGGGCGAGCTTTAGTTGAAGGAAGAAGAAAAAGGAAGTTAATAACAAAAACATTCATGTTCAGTAGACCCTTAAATGTCAAAGTGTTTGCGAAAGTGGACAACTTTTTTGTGACCCGGAAACCGAAGCTGCAATTACAAAAGAGAGAACGCTTAACGCTGAGCTATTTGACTGTTTAGAGAGAAATAAAATACAATAAACAGACAAACAAATAACAATAATTCCAATTTTTCCTTTGTTAGCATCCCCCATTATACCCAAATTCCACATTCTTTTCTCTTGTTGGCAAGTCAGTGGGAGTTGGTGACCGCTCTCTCCTTCCTTGTCCCTTTGCTGACTTTACATAGCAATTTGTTTCATTTAGATTTGTCTCTTTTTGGGCACATTTTCTTTCTTTACATTTTATTCATTCTTAATCTTAACTTGCAAAACACCAACTCTTTTAATAATTCATTCTTGGTTTTTCTCTTCATGCCTCATGGTATGAGAAAAACACCAAAACAAAGCTAACCCAAGACCAAAACATGTTACTGGCCACATGGGGCAGATCATTTTCAGAGCTCAGAAGACATCCTTGGTGAAATTTTGAGATCCATTGGGACTGAGGTTGGAATTTGCAAACCTTTTTGGATCTACAAGAAAACAACAAAAAACTTCTATTGTTATTTCTCAAGAAAACAAGATTTGAGATCAAACCCAATAAAAAAAAAACAGATGGTTGGGGTAAAAGAAAAGGAAGGGGTGGCCTCAAAAGGAATGAAAGGGGGATAAAGGAGACATTGGATGCTTGGAAAGGGGAAGGAGGATTTGTGGGGTTTCTCTTTGTCAAAATGCCCTTTAATTTAATTTTAGAAAAATATTAAGAGATACCCTCAATTGTCTTTCAGCATCCAAGAAACTAACTTTTGTCACAGAATCCTCGAGTATTAAATAAAGAAGAAAAAGAAGTGATTTTTCTGGGAATTGACCTTCTCTTATACCGATACATAAAAGAAAAAGAAGGCCCTGTGCGTGTGCTAAGCTGGTCACTTCTCTCTTTTTGTCGTCATATTCACCCAAAAGGAAGACTTTTTTTTCTTTTTTCTTTTTTCATTCTTAGAAAGAGGAAATGAATATCAATGGGAAGTAAGAATCTGATCTGCTCTATTGTTTAATGTTGAGAGCAAAGTCAAAATCTGGGGACTTGGGCAGTGGCCTCAATCGGGTATTAATCTGATTGGTCAATAGTTCACAGTTCATATTAAAATCTGACAAAAACCGTTGGTTTTGCATGGAAATTAATCCAAGTCCACATGGTGAAACTTCTTCCGGTTCATATATGCTTCTGTCAACTGCTTCATTTTCTTTTTCTTTGTACTCATGTTTGTTTCTATCATACTAGTTAGAAATGAAGAATATATTTAATAGGATAGTAAAGAGCAAAATTATATGAGTTTAGGCTTAAGATAGATAATATCATATTGGATGAAAATGTGGAGGAATTCATCATCCCAACATAATATATATATATGAGAACAACCATTTGAATAAAACTAAGAGATAAAAAGATTATAAATAGATAAAAAGATTAACTATGTAACTTTTTTCTTTAAATTATTTTGGTTCGTGTTCTTTCGGATTCGATTTATTTTGGATAATACAGTTTCAAAATGCCCATTTTGATTCCTATACTTTTAAATTTGGTTAATTTTACTCCATATACTTTTAAAAAGTTTCAAACAAAGGGTTATTTTGGTCATTTCATTCCATTTTTATCTCATTTATTTGTATCAAAATTATAGCACGACACTCCACCCACTAAATTTCTCGAAATGTAGTCCCATAAATGATATAAAAGTTGTGCTAAAAAAATTTGCAAACAGGAACTAAAATATTGACTTTTTAAAAGTATGGAGACCAAAACATATATTTTCTTTAAGAGTACATGGACTAAAATGAACAAAAGTCAAAAGTATAGAGATCAAAATGAACCTTCTAAAATTATGGGGACCAAAATAAACTAGCTAAAATCGAAACCACCATGACCAAAATAAACTAAAATCGAAACTACCGTGACCAAAATAATAGCCCTATAAAATACATGTGATGTAAATGAAAGAGAAAAGGGAGCAAGAGTGTAAGTGAGGCATGTGGTGTGAGCCAAGCCAATATGGAAAAAGATAGCAAAGGCTATTGATTGAGGGTGGAAAAAAGGTGGGCATAGAGTCCCTCCCAACATAATATAATATAATATAATACAAAAGAAAAAGGATGAAACTTTCCAAATGCATTTGGACACTCAAGTCAATGCCAATCATAACCAGCAAAAGGCATCTCTCTCTCTCTCTCTCTCTTAAACAATGGATGCAAGTTTAGTAGCTCCAACAACATATGTTAATGTCACACAAAATGACCCTATACTACAAAATCTTCTTGCATTCTTACTCTCATTTCTTCTTAGACTTTAATATGGTCTATTTTTGTTATTACTTTTGAAAAGTGATCATTTAAATTTATATACCATAAAAATCCGACCAAAATAATTACTTTTTGAAAAGAACAGGGACCAATTGAGATGAATAAAAATTGAAACCATCTAAATTATCTAAAATATAGTAGATAGATATAAAGATAAGAATTTTCCACTGCCTTACCCGAGCACCAACTATGGGGGATGGTAAAAATGTAAAAGGTAGATTGTAAATAGCTGCAACTACAAAGAAAAGAAACAGAGTCACAAGAGTTGGATCTTGTGGTAGATTTCAATTATGTCAAAAAAGTGTGTGACTTTATTGAAGTTTGGCAAATCTAACTTGCTTTTTTTCTTTTTCTTTTTCTTTTTCTCCTCTTAAAAAGTTATCACACAGAAGACAGAAGACAGATCACTAGGAATTTTTATTTTTTTTCCCTCCTTCAATTTCTTGTGTATAACAATCTAGTAGGATGGAACAAAGTTTAAAACAATTAATGGATGACAGAAAATTTCCACTTTTATTTTATATATAATTTTGATGTAAGTTTCTAAATCAGTCCATGATAAGCAGTGTTTTTTTAGTCAAAACCAAAGGGCATGTTTGTTTTATGACTGTTTTTTAATGCAAATATTTATATTTGTTTTATAGGTTTTGGTTATTTTAAATCTATAAGTATTTATCATAATATTAGAAGTACCAAAATCACCATAAATTTTATCACATTACATTATAAATAAAAAAATACAAATAAAACAAAGTAAGTGCATAAATTACTTCTATTCTTTTTTTTTTTTTTTGAGTTCAACGCCATGTAAGATGGAGATTCGAACCTACGATGTTTTCGTTGGAGGTATATACCTTAATATAATTGTGCTTCAGATTGGCGTGTAAATTATATAAATTTAATAGGAGAAAGAGAATATTATAAATATAATTATTATCTGTTATATTTTGACAAATCAAAACTAATTATTTCACTTTACTATGTGGTATTTAGTATTGAGATTAATAAATATATTAATTTCAAACTTAATTGGGTATACTGATTTTTGTTTTTTTAACGAAAATAATTGGGTATATTGATCATTTTTATTTAGCTAATCAATTAATAAGTATATTAATATATTAAGCAATAATCGTAAAAAATCTATCAATTAAATCAATGTTTGTCAAAGACACTTTTATGCTCAAATTATTGGTGAGAATGATAAGTTTGGGATGAGTGCACAACTTCAATGTTCTCAACTCCCTTGATGAAGTAATACTAAGGCGTGGGGTGACTAAAACGTCAAATGAAAAGTGTTATATTTAAGAACTATTAACCACACTCGACCTTTTTAAATTTGTTATGGCGCATGGTAGAGATCATATTAGACTAAGCTACGGACAGACAACTTTCAAAGTAACCATGTGATATGGATTAATAAAAGTTCCTAATTTAAGGCATCAACGGTACCTTTGGAAACGTTACCTTTGCTGTGCCAAGTTAGAGTGGCTTGTCTTGGACATATAATAGATGCCTTTGGCTCATGGCATTGTTTTGAATGAGATACTGGGTTAGTAACATTGACACGTGACATTGTGTGATCTTAAAAAATGGTCTCTTGACTACAGCAGGCAAACGAAGAGTCAAGTGTATGCATACAACTTACCTTTACTTATTACCCAACTTAATTGGAGAGGTCATGTATCGAGCCACAAGTGTGTTATGGTCTTTTTTTTTTTGAAAGTACAACAAAAATGTAGAATATGAGAATTTGAACCTTGTGTCTCAAGACAATGAATATATTTAATTTACTAAAGTGTATTTTATGTTTCTAGACTATTGTACCAATGATTGTGGTAGAAATGAAATGTTAGGGATTGAAATGACACTTCTAACACCCAAACACTAAAATAATGGGACATGTTCAACAATTGATCATTTATTTTAAAAGAGCGATAATCTTTCAATTCTCCATCACACCCTTCTTATTTGCTTTCACTTAGCTTCATAACTTTGTTGAAATATTCAAGTTTCTCTCGACTGATACTTGTAGTATGTATTTCATCGAAATACCTTGAGAGTATTCCTTAACACTTTTGTCACTTTTAGAACGTTTGTGTTGATTTGAGTTTGAATATTTGTATTTTTCTTTTGGAATAATAACAAGTAAATAAAAATAATTAGCATCAATTTACAAGACAGATAAGGAATAAAAACCTCAAAACTATATAAAAGGGGTGGACACAAATTCACCATCCTCAAATTGCCCATGGATTTGTCCTCAAAAAAGACAAAATAAAAAAACCCACTTTTCTCTTCATAAAGGTACATACATTACCATCCCCAGGACTTATGCCCCTTTCGCTAGCAAAGTTAAAAGGATCGTCTACATATCTTTTGGCATCCATGTAACGTATATTCTGGTAAATAATATTTTAGATCTTTATCGGTAAGTAAGAACTTATTTGATAATATTTTCGTTTCTTGTGTCTAATTTTATTGACAAATTTAAATAATTGACAACTATTTATATTTTTTATTTTTCATCTTTTTAGAATCGTTCTTCAACTTGTATACTTAATAGTGGTCAAGTACATGTGATATCTACCATCACGACTTTAGTCTATATATATGGTTGATGATTTAGTGTCAGACCAACCAATTCCTATTTTTCCTCTCCAACTTCACTTTGAAATTGTTGACAAGTCATCCTCTTTCACTCACATTTGCAAGCTTATAACAAGATTGGAGAGTGGTCTGATTTGTTTTCATTTCAATCATTGACTGAAGCAATTTGCATGGCTGAATATATTCTCCGGCATGACTACTTTCAATGCTTGGAAATAATGTTTTCTTCATATTATGGCCATTTTCTTAATTTCTTATCTGGGTTTTCTCCATGATTGAAGAACTTTTTAATTTTTTTTCTTCAAAGCCCAAGTGCAGAGAAAACATGTCTATGCATTCCAATCACTGCAACAAAAGTATTGAGACATTCTTTGTGTTCTAAATTTTAGAAGAAAACCGCTCTTGCAAATGGCGACCTTTACAACATTAATAGAGTTTATGTGAGAAAGATTCGATCAAAAGAAAAGTCAATTAAATCATCGGGACGACCAATTTAATTAAACCTTCAAATAGTTAGGTATCAATATTTTTCTTTTAGGTTGTAAATTCGAATCTCTATTTTCTAATTTTTAACATAATATTCTAGAAAAAAGACGTGTTAACTTTTAACTTAAAATGTTTAAACTTTAAGACTCATTTATTTTTATTTTTGAGTACAACTCATTTATTTTTTATGTTTCTAATTTGTGTGGAAGAATCAATAATTTTATTTCCTTACAAATAATAGAAAATTAACTATTTCTTTTAAATATACTCATATAATAATTTTTAAACTGGCGTAACACTAATTCATTAGTATTTCACGAATAAAATCTTATTTTATTTGAGAGAAAAAGTGAAATTTTAAGATATCTACGAAATCTCTATTTTATACTTCAAATAAAAGTGAATCCGTATGAATAAAATAAATAAAAGTTAACGAAATTACTAACCATTAATACTATTTATTAGAGATAGGTAAAATTAAAAAAAAAAAAAAGAGAAGGGTAAAAGGGGAAATAAAAAGAGTTACAGACATTATCGCGAGTGTTGAACAAATTGCCCCGTCAAATTGAGCTGTATTTTGGGAGCAATATAGCAAAAAGGAGTAAAGATATGGTAATTACAAGTTAAACTTGCGATTATGGAAGTGCTTCCTATGTCGGATGTTCAGCATGTTGAAGATTCCGATTCTCCAAAGATTTCTGGGACTGCTTTGTTCTATGATGGACAGCAATCGAACAACTCCATCGATCGTGAACAAGCAGCGCAGACGGCAAATGGTGGACTCAATGACTTATCGGTGAATGTGGAAGACGCACAAATTAACAGCAAATGTGATTCTCAAGCGGCTCCTCAATATTTGCCTGCTTCGGGCCACTCTAGTTCGGATTCATATTCTAACTATCAGATGAATGACCAGAAAGCATCTTGTGGTTCCCCGGAGTCTGATTTTGATGATACCAACACAGAGAATTACTCCACGGAATCCTGTTTAGCATCTGAAAACTCTCGTATAGTTGTCGATACCATTGAAGATGAATTGCCTAGCAACAGTAAAGCAGAGGAGTTGTCTGTTTCTGGGCCGGAGCCAATGTGGTTGGAAGGGGATGAATCTGTGGCACTTTGGGTGAAGGTATCTGCCTACCCTAATCTCACAAGTCCTCAATTTATTCCTTTACTATTCTCTTCTTGTGAGTATGCATGTTTGTTCAATCTCAATTTTTTTTTTTAACAAACTCATAGTACTCCTGCAGTTGTGCTCTGTGCTCTGCTGCCCACACCGTATAGTTGTTATAATGCTGTCAAAGTCTAGTTACTTCAATTTGTTTAGTTGTCACATAAGTCTTGACATCAAATATAGATATAATTAATATTACATGCTTACATAATGATGATTGTTAGGCATGGGCTTTTTTGAAGTTTAAGAGCTAGTTGCTGACTGCTGTTTGAGTATCTTGGATTTGGTATAAGTGAGTTAGAGTTGGCCTCTAGAATCCAGCAATTTTAGCAGCGCACTTTGTATTTTGATGCTCTATCATGTATGATCTTGAACTTCATAAATATTTCTTGACCCTTGGCCTTGATCAGTTATCGTATTGAATTTTTTTTAATGCTCATTCAAATCAAATGATTTCCAGGAGAGTCCCTATTTTATAGAAAAGACTTCATGGGAAACAAGTAATCACAACTGATAATGAAGAGCCTAGAGATGCATAAGATACATTGTTGGAGTCGGTGGAATTCCTGAGTGAATTAGGTTAGATCCAGTTGTTATTGAACTCAGAAGCAGGGACCCATCTTTGATTGAATAATGCTAATGGCTTGTCACATTTTCCCATAAATTAAAAGGACATAGTACTGTAGTAGGGATGAGGAAATGAAACTGAAAATTTTTAGTAGTTAAGGATTGTTTGGGAGTTGTTTCCTTTGTTTTCATAATTGTTTTAAAGAACTATGATCAAGTACCTTATAGAGATTAAATTACTTAATACTCAAAATCACAATTTACATGCCACGATTTTGGGAGGAAGGACAACTTCTGTTATTTAGAAAATAGGTCATTAGTCATTACAAACTAAATTGAAACCAGAAAAAACAACTTTTAAAGAATAGTTATTCAAACGCGTATTCGCTAAATTTTGTCTAGAAAATAGAAAACTGCTTTTCAAAATAACTCCCAAACAGCCCATTTACTTTCTGAACAGCACCAAACATTCCACAGATTCTTTACCTTATAGATTATCTCAGTGGTTTTGATCCTTCGTTCCCATTGGCCATTCACTATGGGTAAATATTTCCGATTTAATTTTATTGAAAATGCCAGTACTTTAATATGTTTTATTTTGTTGGTAAAAATGGCTGCTATTGTATTGTATTGAGTAATACATTAGAAGATAAATTCATGGTTTTCTTTTGTTTTCATTTTGAAAATTTTCTCCAAGTATAGTGGAGAGGGAAGTGGCAGGCAGGAATTAGATGTGCAAGGGCTGACTGGCCATTATCTACTTTAAAAGCCAAACCTACACATGACAGGAAGAAGTATTTTGTGGTCTTTTTTCCACACACAAGGAACTATTCTTGGGCGGATGCATTGCTTGTTCGTTCTATTGAGGAATTTCCACAGCCTATTGCATACAAGAGTCATAAAGCTGGTTTAAAATTGGTTGAAGATGTAAAAGTTGCAAGGAGATTTATAATGAAAAAACTTGCTGTTGGCATGCTAAATATCATAGATCAATTCCACCTCGAGGTTTGTATATGGTTCACGCTTCTGTATTCTGTTTGTCATTGTAATGAGTTGTGAAGTTCCTTGAGTTCTCATCTTTTATTTGAGTTCAATTTGATTAATGTAGGCTCTGATAGAGAGTGCTCGTGATGTAATGACTTGGAAGGAGTTTGCCATGGAAGCTTCCCGCTGTAATGGTTATTCTGATCTTGGTAGAATGCTCCTGAAGCTGCAGAATGTAAACTTCTATTCTTCTTGATGGTATATAAGATGGGAATAACAAAAGAAATTATTTTGATTTAATGGTTTATTATTTCCTGTTTTCTGTGATTAGGAGTTTATGTTACCAAGTGCTTTTACTATCGGACCTGATTTAGATGCACCAGTATATTTCTGGCCCTTAAATACCTTTTGTTGTGTCATCCAATTGTAATGATATAAATATTGTGGCTAGCAAAGATTATTCAGGAAAGATGTAGGAGAACAATGTGTTTCCATCTAATAACATGAATTTGAATATGATGTGGCTGATGAGTGTTATCAATGACATGGCCATATAATTAGGGTTGTCTACAGTTATCTTCAAAAAAAAAAAAATCGAACTGTGCTATTGCCATATGTGCAAACCGAATAGTTTTTTCTTTTTGTACAAACTGATATAAACCAAATTGGTTTTGGTTTTATTTAAATTGGTGAGGTTTTCGGTTTTGGTTCTCATCCACATATTTAGTTTGGTTCCATCCTTTTGCAGATGATAGTGCAGTGCTTCATGAATTCAGATTGGCTTCAGAATTCTTTGAATTCTTGGGTGCAACGATGTCAAAATGCTCAAACTGCAGAAATTATTGAAATGCTCAAGGAGGTAATGCCTTACCTGAGAACCTGGTTTTCTTGGCCCCATATTTCTGCTTGTGCCAAACATGTTCGGATGGAGAATGAGAGGAAAAGTGTAGTGATAGCATATTATTTTTATTGCAACATTTTATTTTTATGGAGAAATGGGAAAAAAACATGTTCTGATGGAGAATGAGAGGAAAAGTGTAGTGATAGCATATTGTTTTTATGGCAACAGGTTATTTTTATGGAGAAAGGGGAAAAAATTGCAAGGATGGACATATCTTTTCTATTTTGATGGGAAAATGCAACAATGAGCATGTCCTTTTTTCCCTTCTCTCCTTTTCTTCCTTGAGGCAGAGGTAGATCGTCCGGTTTTCTTTCCCTATCTCTTAGCTTTGGCCTTCTAGAGTTCATGTTGTTGAGGATCATCCTCCATGATTTGGCAATCCTTGATTCTTTACAACTGCATGCTTATCCAGTCTTCTTGTTGTCACTAATGATTCTTCTTGTCGGCAGCTTCCTTGATCCACACAACTACCTTGGATAACATATCCTTGGATTTGGCTTCAAAGAAATCCCTCCCTTGTCTCATTCATTTTCATGATTCTAAGATTCAGCTTAAATTTCAAATTTCACAAATCCGGCCGCCCATTTGCCCATCACATGCTTGCTGCTTGCCTATGTGTTCAACAAAATCTTACTCGCATGCCACCTTGTGCTTCATGCCCTCCTGCTTCCCTGCATGCATGCATCCGCAAGTGCACTGCCATGCACATGGTGGTGCTGTGCTTACACTGCGAGCATTCCAATGCTCGTAGCTTAGTGCATGGAGCATCAATGCTTGCATCCTGCACACTTACAATCAATCTCGCAGCCAGTTATCATCCTTGGGCATGCTGGCTATGTCCAATAATAGTCAGTTGAGTTTCCTTGGGTGTCCTTGCAATCCAAGATGTATCACAAGGAAGGAATTTCTCCCTTGATATACTTAGGCTTTCCTAAGTCACTATCTTGGGTCATCAGCATTAGTCCTCCACCAAAGTTTTGCATCATTAACCAACTATATATGTCATGGATACTTAATCTTTAGACAGAATACGGGAAATAACATGATTAGATTAGTTTGCCAATACTACTGTGTAGTTAGATCTTTAAATAGCTTGCATATGGGAAATAGGATTGAAATTTGATTTTCTGTTCTAAGGTTTTGTCTCACTTCATATGCTCATTTGCTGCTCAAAGAGCTCGTTGGAACCTTTTTTTTTTTCCTTTCTTTGTTTTAATTCTTTTGTGGTAACTTTTTGGTCATTTTTCTCGAAGTGCAGTGTAATTTTGTAGAGACAGCATCTTGCCTAACTTTTTTCTTAATTAGGAAATAGTGAAAGTGGTATTGAGAAATAAGCTTCTATTATCCCGTACTAATGGCCAAAATCTAATTCTATATCAAAGGTTCAGTGATCTAGTTTCTCTTTCCTTTTATAGGAATTGGCTGATGCTATTTTGTGGAAGGAAGTGAACTCTCACGGTGATGCACCAGTGCAGCCTACTTTTAGTTCTGTGTGGAAAACCTGGAAGCATGAAGTTACAAAATGGTTTTCAATATCTCCCATCCTTCCCATTATCAGAGACAAAGAGCAGCGGAGTGTTGAAGCTTTCTTAGCTACAACTCTCCAAGTTAGCAGGAAGAGGCCCAAGCTTGAAATTCGTCGTGCAGAGGCACATGCTTCCCTGGTGGAATCAAAGTGCTCAGGTGATGCTATGGCTCTTAATATTGATTCAGGTTTTTTCAAAAGCCGGAATAGTTTAAATGCTAAATTAGCATCAGAAGCTCACAAAGTAGAGGCAAGGGAGGTTGCTACATCAGTAGACTCACTCAGTATTGTACCTGGTAGGTCAGGTGGAGTTCAAACTGGAAATTTGCAGCTAGCCTCTTGCAAGGATGTGGAACTGATGCCTCATACTGACGTAGTAGCAGAAAAACCCTTTAATTCTGGTAATAGGAATCGACAGTGCATAGCATTTATTGAATCCAAGGGAAGGCAGTGTGTTAGGTGGGCCAATGAGGGTGATGTTTACTGTTGTGTGCATTTATCATCTCGATTCACAGGCAACTCTGATAAGAAAGAACAGACTCGTTCTGTTGAATCACCAATGTGCCAAGGTACTACTGTTCTTGGAAGTAGGTGCAAGCATCGATCTCTATTTGGCTCTTCATTCTGTAAGAAGCACAGACCAAGGAGTGAAACAAAATCAGAGTCAAATTCCCTTGAAAATAAGCTTATCGAGAAGCAACAGGACATTTATAGTGTAGAAGCCATCGGGTATAAAGAAATAAAGTTTGCTGATGTTGGAAATACCCTTGGAGTGGACAACGGTGATGTGACCAATAATGGAAATAGCTCATCTGATAAGCTTGAGCATCGTGGAAAAGAATCTATTGCCACAGAGGTTCGACACTGCATCGGCTCTTGTATTGACAGCAACCCATGTTTAGAAAGCCCAAAACGTCATTCTCTATATTGTGAAAAGCACCTACCTAGCTGGCTCAAACGTGCAAGAAATGGTAAGAGTAGAGTAATATCGAAGGAAGTATTCATGGATCTTTTAAGAGACTCTAGCTCACAAGAGTTAAAGATACATTTGCATCAAGCCTGTGAGCTATTTTACAGGCTCTTTAAAAGTATTTTATCACTGAGGAATCCAGTTCCTATGGAGGTTCAATTTCAGTGGGCCCTGTCTGAAGCTTCTAAAACTTTTGGAGTTGGGGAACAATTTATGAAATTAGTTTGTCGTGAAAAGGAAAGATTAAAAAGGATATGGGGATTTGATGCTGAAGAAGCACAACTTTCCTCATATTCGATGGAAGTGCCAACTTCAGGTAATTGCAATGATGATATGGGTATCAGATGCAAAATTTGCTCTGAAGAATTTCTTGATGACCAAGCACTCAGTACTCACTTCATGGACGGTCATAAAAAGGAAGCACAGTGGCTATTCAGAGGTTATGCTTGTGCCATCTGCCTGGACTCGTTCACCAATAAGAAAGTTCTAGAAACTCACGTGCAAGAGAGACACCATGCACCATTTGTTGAGCAATGCATGCTTCTGCAGTGTATTCCTTGTGGCAGCCATTTTGGGAATACTGAACAATTATGGTTACATGTAGTTGCTGTTCATCCTGTTGATTTCAGATTGTCAAATTCTACTCAACAGCATAACTCTTCTGCCGGGGAGGATTCTCCAGTCAAACCTGAGCAGTGTAATATAGTTTCTCAGGAGAATGATAAAAAGAATGTAGGTGGTTTACGAAAGTTTATTTGTAGGTTCTGTGGTTTGAAGTTTGATTTACTGCCTGATCTTGGTCGCCACCATCAAGCTGCACACATGGGGCCAGGGTTAGTTAACTCCCGACCTGCAAAGAGGGGACTACACTATTATGCTTATAAATTAAAATCTGGTAAACTTGGTCATCCTAGATTTAAGAAGACTTTAGCAGGTGCATCAAATAGGAACAGAAACAGAACAAAAGCTAGCATGAAAAAACATATTCAAGCTTCAAAGTTACGGAGCACAGGAAGCATAAACCTTCAACCTCATGTGCCCCAGTTAGCAAGTTCTCGTAAATTGACCCAAGGTTCAACTGTTGCGAAGGCATTAGTTTCTGAGATTCAAAAAAGAAAATTATCACCTATCAATATTGACATTTTGTCAATTGCTCGCTCTGCTTGTTGCAAGGTCAATTTTAAAGTCCTCCTAGAACAGAAGTTTGGAGTGTTACCTGAATATATTTATCTTAAGGCAGCTGAGCTATGCAGGGAAAAAGGTGAAGTTAACTGGCATATCAAGGGGTTTGTTTGTCCCGAAGGATGTGAGACATTTGAGGATCCTCTTTTGCTTCCCCATTTGATGCCTCATCCAAATGGTTTTGGGGACCACGAGAATGCATGCTCTCCTGATCCTGTGAGTTGCAAATGGGAAGCTCGCAGGTGTGGTTATGTCATTGGTTCTCATCTTTCAAGCCAGCAGGTCAAGGAAAATGTCATCATCTTGTGTGAAGATATAAGCTTCGGCCAGGAATTAGTTCCTGTGGTCTGTGTAGCTGATGAAGGTCGAAGGAACTCACCTGACATACCTATAGCTAACTCCGATGATCAAAATGCAAGATACTTCATGCCTTGGGAGAATTTTACCTATATTAAGAAACCATTGCTTGATAAATCCCTCGCTATTCATACAGAGGTAGTTTTATATGAATCTTTTTGCCTCAATACTAATGCCAAACTGCTATAAATTCTTGACTTCAGTGTACTTCCTGCTCCTTCTATATGTAAATTATGTAGATTAAATGTGAGTTCTCTTAGGGTTTAATGTTATTGCTCATGAAAAAAATCCTTACTTCTTTCTAGTGTTTACCACAGAGGTCCATATGATTTAAATACTAAATGGGCCGATATAAATTTCCTTATGCAATCCACATATGCGTCCTTAGTTGAGAGACAGACAGATGTTTTATTTGTTTGTACCATCCAGGATAATGCATATCGTTCTGGTTTTGGTGGCCATCGAAATTCTTTTTATATAACTTATGAGCGTCTGAGTAAAACCTAACTATGATTGTAAATTTTCAATGTAAACTAATATAAAGTCATTTCTATGTGACATTATGCCCAGAGTTTGCAGTTCGGATGTGCCTGCCCACAATCACTCTGTTCTTCTGAAACATGTGATCATGTATACCTCTTTAATAGTGATTATGAAGACCCAAAGGACATTTATGGGAATCCCATGCGTCGCAGGTTCCCATATGATGAGAATGGTCGGATTATTCTGGAGGTAGTCTTTCCATTATTTTCCAATCAACACACTCACGTTTCTTGAAATAACAATTGTCTTTGAGCTACTACCATACTCTTTATAGTGTTTATTCCCACCGTTCCTACCCCTCTCTTACTTTGGTTTTATTTGATTGCTAGTTTTGTTGGAGTTTGACTTAATAATTTGATTTACGCATACTGATTTGTTGCTTGACAATGAAAATTTGTAACTTTCACATTTATATGAAATATATTCATATAAATGTGTCCAAGAGTGCTTTGTTGACATTAAATAAACTTGCAATCTCTTTTGATTTTAATTCATTCATCTGCTGCCGTCTGAAATTATGCATCTCTGTAGTCTCCCTCCCTATTCATACATCTGCTGCTGTTTCATCTTCTCTGGACCGTTATGAAACTATCAGCCTTGGTTCTTGGAAGTCTTTGAATTTTAAAACCTTAACTCTTCTAATTCCCACCTTAATTTATGATTTTTCTGAGATTGAGTTGCATCTTTCTGAAGCTCGCATTTATAACAAATAAAATTGTGCAGGAAGGTTACCTTGTCTATGAGTGTAATGAAAGGTGCAGCTGTAGTAGAACCTGTCCAAATAGAGTGTTGCAAAATGGAGTTCAAGTGAAACTTGAAGTCTTCATGACAGAGACAAAGGCAATTTCTTCTTTATGTGCCATTTTATTTATTTTTGCTAATTTTTTCTCTTTTTTTTTTTCCTTTTGATAAGAAACACCGAGCTTTCATAACTTTTATATGACCTTTAGTTTCCTAGATGGTGTTTTAGTAGTTTCTTATATGAAGTTGTAAAAACAATACAGGGATGGGCAGTAAGGGCTGGTGAACCCATCCTGCGTGGCACATTTGTTTGCGAGTACATTGGGGAGGTGTTGGACGAGCAGGAAGCAAATAGGAGACGAGACAGGTTTGTATGATTTAAAGTTCTCTATAAAATCAATCTTTTCCTCATATTTGATCCAACGTATCTTTTATTAGGTATAACACTGAAGGCAACTGCTATTTCTTGGACGTGGATGCTCATATTAATGACATTAGCAGATTAGTTGAAGGTTCAGCTAGATATATTATTGATGCCACAAATTATGGAAATGTTTCGAGATTCATAAATCACAGGTGCGGAAGGTTTTGTGTTCCATATGTTCTTTCCACTTGTTCAGACATTTAGTAATGCTAGCATGTTTTTCTGAATCTTTTGTGACCATGTTAAGACCAACCAATCTGCGAGCAACAGATTTATTGTATGCTCGGGATCATTTCTTTTGAATTTCCCGAAAGCTGCTAATCAGTTCCTTTAGAACTACTTTTACCACATAATATCTGCAAAATACATGATTTATGAAATAGACTCCTGGTGTTCTTTACCTATGGTATTTTGATGCTGAGATTCTTCATTTATCTAATAGCATCTAATTGATTGAATTGTGAAAAGATGCATAAGTCATACATTCTTTTACGTCATTATTCGATGTGAAGTTTCGAACCTTTCTGAGTCGGTGATGTTGTATTGTGCATTCCCAATAGATGTACATCTCTACTTTATTGCAATTGAAACTCTTTATTGTTTGCAGTTGTTCACCAAATCTTGTAACGTACCAAGTCCTTGTCGAAAGCATGGAATACCAATGCTCACATATTGGATTGTATGCAAGCCGGGATGTAAGTACTCACTTTAATAGGATGATGGATTTCAGAGCATATTTCAGTTCCTAACTATTCTGCAACTGGTTTCGACTTTTGAGAATTCATAGGCCAACAAAGTTTAGGACCTTTCATTGTTTTCCTATGTTCTCTTTTTATTACCTAGTGGACCTTAACTTGAGATCTATATTAGAAATCTTATTTCAGAAACTTTTTGTATAATCAAAGACAATCTTCACATAAAAAAATATCTACACGTGTATTTCTGCAGATAGCTACTGGTGAAGAGCTGACATTCAACTATCGGCGCGAGCAATTGCCCGGAGGAAATCTGTGCGGCTGTGAATCTTCGAGTTGCTGAGGCCACCTTTATTACATGTGAAGAACATTTTCAACCTATCATTTGAGGGGAAAAAAAATCTGGTACTTACAAGTTTGGAAAGAGAAGCAAGACAGGTTCTGATAGCACATGACCTGCACTTTTTGAGGATTATTTATGGTCTTATTCCCTCATCTAGCCAAGCAACTCCATCAGCCTGGAAACTTAGTTTTTGGAATCATAGAAAAATGGTAAAATAAAATCTCTGTATGTAGGAACTGAAGAAATGCCCTCTGACCCCTCTAGTTTGTAGTTTCGGATTTATCTTATTTTCACTGCTGAACCAACTTAGTTTAGCAAATTGTAA